CGATTTCCTCCTCCTTGACGGTGCAATCCCATTACAGAACTTGTGGGACACCAGTGTGCATAGTTGGAGCAAACCCGGTTTCGCTATTGACACGAGTTTCGTGGACGCCAGCTCTTCGGCAGAATCAACTGCACGATTGGGATTACTCCAACTGTTTGTAGCAGCACAGTGAAGGGACAATATGATGCCTCAGTATGCCCAGTCCTTAAGCAGTGAGTCAAAGTGAAGTTTCTGTGCTTGCAGAAGCAGTTCCACGAACAGCTCCTACGATTGTGCTAAGGAGACGTGTTAAGGAGTGGTCAGAGTGTGTCTTCTCATCCTGTCCCAAACATTCGTCAACAAAATAATCACTCAAACTACCTTTGCCAACCAACAGTCCGGAGCATAGACTTCACACAGTGCTTTCCCACAAGTGGATAGCTGATGTTTCTACTGAAAATGACTGCTATTAGGCCACCAAGTGGAGTCTGCTCGAGTGTTCTCGTTTACCTGTACTCGGTGTTTCAATGTCCTGACTGAACCTCCAATCCGGCTGCCCTTTTTGAGTCACTATCACAGTCATCGTGTACAATGTGGCGGGTGCCAGACCATTGAGAGTGACTTCTCCATCACTAATGAGCACATGTTCGGCCTTGAGGGTACGTGGTTCTGACTTCTTCCATAACATCAGTACGACTTCTTCTTCGGCCATCTCCTTCATAGTGTCTGGCTCCCAGGTCAGACGAATGGCCTGAGAGTTCACATACACGTCATAAAACGGCACCGGAGACTCGTCAACTTCATCCATGGAGGTGAGAATATGTGATTCATCCACTGTCAAGATTTTTGTCGTAGGATGGAAAGAAATTAGGAGGGGACAGCATTATATTAGATCTGCATAAGCAGGTAGATACCTGTAAGAACTGTATTGTTCCACGCCCCACCTTATTGTCAATAACATGAACTTATTCGCTTAGGAATGTTGTGTAGAGCATGTTGTTATTAATCGGGAGAAACGATTCCACTTTTTGAAAACAGTGAAGAGAGGTGGACCGAATGTTCACGTCTGGAGTACAGGAGGAAACTAATGCAAAGCGGTTCAAAACAACGCACTCAAAAGCTACTCATGCATGAGCTAGAAGATACACTCCTTTTCCACACTGTGCCTTGTCCAGGGCATTCACTTTTAGCTCGCCTGTTAAACAAAATCCTACAGTGCTTATGTGTGATTATAGCCTTGAGAAAGTTCATCCCTCTCTGTGATCACTCGCATCGAAGGCAGGAGTTCTTGAAGGGTACAAGTGGGTGTTTAAACGGCGTCTCTGACAGTTTAGTTCACCATTACGAACACTTTGAATCAGTTAGCAGTCTGAGTCAGGCAAGATATTCACGTTTTACTAAGTACCAACTCTAATTAGCTTTAACAATGCTTTTGAGCAAGGAGGGTGCTGCTGCCTTTCCTGATTCTAAATCAGTGCAGCAAAGATTCCCATAAGTGCACATTTTTACGGCAAACCTTAGATCATCGCTTGCTTGCTCTTAGTGTTTTTCTAGGCACGTTGAGGTCTATCGGTAGATCCTCATGTTGCCTTGCAATCAGTCTAGCTTTGTGCAATGCGCTGGAGTTCGGCCTATCAAGAGTGACTTCCCCTTCAGTGAAGGAATCATATGCCTCCCTTGGGGCTTTCTATGGGATTTCGACTCCACTTCGATTGTGATTCGCACGTTAAGGATCGCATTCAGGCTATTCGAATTCCATGTTAAGTGAATGGCTCAAGTGCCAACGCAGCTCTCACTAAGGGGAGATGATTTCGCCATGTAGAACCTCTTAATGCATTAAGTAAAGTGTTGAATGTTTTTGTCTTTAGCAGAGAGACTGTCAATTCGTGTATTTTGTGCTCTCATTGAGGGAAAGGGCTGAGGTGGAGTCAGTCTTCCTTCTTCTGCTACATACGTTCAAAAATGGGCATGTACAACGTAAAGTCTCTGCTTATACCTTCATCAAGAGCAAAATGCGCTGCTCTAACAACCGCACCACAATGCCAAAAGAATTTTTAACTTACGATGATAGGAGAATAGCTTTGAAGTGATACTTACCACTTCCGTCCTCAAGACCCTTAGCCAAAAGCGAAGTCGACAGCACAAACAGCCACCATAGAGACGTCATCTTCGCGCCCACAACTACTTTGCATTCACAACACACAGTGCATTTATGGGGTGGTTTTGGGCCCACATCAGCCTATGAGCTCTTTCCAATTTGATTTGCAAGGTCGCTCCTACGCCAGATGGCGTGTCGGCTTGAGTAAACAGTGTCAACATACAAATCCCATGACCCCTAATTGAAGGCGGCTTTGAATAGTTTGACAGTAAATCGTCACTTAAGCACCCTATCATCACTACCATCACCACTGACTGACTAAGGAGTTTATGTATGCGACTTTGCTGCCTCGTTCAGGGCGGCCAAGCAACGTGACCGATATTTAAATGCATTTGGCAATGTGTAGGCCTTTTGAGTGACCCATTATGACTGCCACCGCGATTTAAGCCAATGTTCGTGTACGATGAAGAGTATGCGTTAGAGCTGCAAATGGGGAAATAATTGTATGCCTTGTTGACGTACGTTGTAGGTTGGCTTACGCTTGGGATTGTGGTACAGAGGTTTCTTTCCATTCTTGTGATTGGTACACTTGATTAATTCTCTGCAGACACCTTACATTTTCGCCCCGCGGTCCACCGACACCGCATGCCGATCCGGCAGATCGTGTGACTCCCCCTTGGGATGGTGGAAAACGCTTCCCATGCAGATGGTGTGATTGGTAGCAGTGTTCTGCCTTTCGGAAGAACAGACTGCGGAGTGATAGGGAGGAAGCAATTAGAGTTCAATCCTAATGTGGCTGAAATTGCATTAAACCAGTCACTGCTCGTCGTCCATATCCAGTCACACCTCTTAGTTTCTCTGTATTTTTTTTTTAATTTAGATTTGTCCACTTCATGTTTTGACAACATACAAGACGTGAACCATTTCCATATTGGCAGTCATAACTGATTGATTGTGGCGGTCAAAGGAATGAGAGAATCATTGTGCATGAAACAATCTCCAACCCATCCTGCACTGAACCCACCTCTTCTTTTTGAACACTGGCACCAGACAATGACTCGGTGTTGCCAGGGTGAACGATTATTCTGTCGTTATTTTACCCATGTTTTGTGCAAATAATCTGTCTTGGTATTACAGACGAGATGAGGCTGATATCACCCCGCTTGCATTACTTGAAACATGAATTTCAACCTTGCCTTGGTCACAAGAGCTTAAGTGACAACTCCATCAAATTAATTATTGGTCTGATGTTGTCATACTTCTACAAAACTCGACCTAATCGAGTCATCTTGTGTTTTCAGCCTCTTAAACTAAACTTATTATGCTTTGATCTTACACCGGCAGTCCATTTCACAATATGTTTTCATATTTGTTTTATAACCCTCCAACTCAGTGTTTACCTCTCGTGAAGTTCCAAAAAAGCGCACAATTCTAACAACATATCCACAATAATTTGATCTCCACCCACAGTTTTGTGTGTGAGGCCATTGTTTACATGCATTCAAGCCTACCGGTGCTCATATTCACAATAGGGAGGACTGCATTGTAGCTGTTCTTTAGCTGATTTCCTCTTTCTTCTCCTCTTGACTAAGGTGAAAAAAATGAACGTCAGTATCTCTAAAGAACCACTTTCTACACTTCACCCCTCCCAGTTGCACATAAATTGGGGTAATCAGACATTTTAATTGCGTTGTTGTGGAGGCAGGTGGTCACTCGTCCTCCCGTCCGTATTTGATGGACGGTTTGGACTCTTCTCACAATCACAGCTTTACCCAATTCCCCTGAATATCACGCCCGTCCCCAATTTTGCTGCTAAACTGCGAAAAACAAGCAGTCCTCATATCAAGTTGCTGTTACAATAGTGTTAGGTCTCCACTTTCTTAAGGTTTACAAGAGTGATGTCAATTCCCATTATCCATTTCTAACTTCTTTGCAAAGGAATTCCTAATGGCCTGTCAGCAGCATGAAAGGAGACAGAAGTGTGGTATTTGCGGGAAAACAAGAGGCAGACACTGCTCATAAAATGGGTTAAACCGCAGTACTAGCGATAGTTGAGGTTCAAGTAATGACCAATGCCTTCATTACTGTGCCCACAAAGAAAGTTGAGGCAAAGTATAGTTTAAGTGCAAGAAGAGGCTGGATTTTATTAATACAGCAGTGTTCTTTGGGAGAGATAGTGAAGGGAAGGGGAATATTGGCATTCATTCTTAAAACACTTGTATGACGAGGAACAAGGGTGAGAAGACAATGATTGTCTTGACATCTGAACAGGAGATGGGTCGTAGTGGAAGGCTTTCTGCTGTCGCCAGACCTGTCGCTACGCCTTAGTGCTGCCTGCCACGTTAACAGTGCTCTCACGTACCAGAAGTTAGACCATGGTGAAACGTTAGGGTCCTGTTGGCGTACGGATGCACACGTCGTTAAAAGATTCATGCAAGTTGGAGCCCAGGGTTAGGTGGAGAACTAGGAAATTTAATTTAATTCAAGTGGTGCTAGATGCTACTCTTAAAGCACTTCACGAATCGGTTCAATTTTGATGTGTGCTGCAGGAGTAGGACGACTTTGAACCACCTTCTAGTACTAGCCACGAGAGGCGAGTCAGGTTATTCTGATTGCAGCAAAAGCACTGGTGTCATCAACTTGAGCAATTGTGTTTTGTGTAAATGCAGGCTAAAAGCGGATCTCATTTGAGGTCGATGTTTAGCTAAACCGTTCTGTTATTCCCACTAATTGGGTTAGTCTCCAGATCAAACCTCATTCCCATATTTCCCTTCTAGTAGTAGCTCATTTCGGGATCAAAAACGGTGTCTGAGGCTTTATCACAAGTGTAAATTGTTTGTACACGCTCTAATACTTCCTACTAGGTAGAAGAAGGCATTAAGATGGGCCGGCTGCGTGAATTTTAGAAGGATAGTATGGGATTGGGCCTTGATTTGGCGAATACCAAAATGGCAGCCCGACATCAGATGGTCATGTAAACAAAGTCGTGCAACGTGTCAAGCGAAGGTAGGAGCGTCTGAAACGCCTACTTCGGCTTAACTATCTGTGCGACCTATTCCACTTGTCGTGTGATGATTTGTTGCTTTTGGAAATGAGGAACAGTAGAGGCTGCTTAGGATAGTGCAGTAGTCATACTCAGGTATCCCTTTCAACAATTTGTAAAAATATGCAACACAAGAGCAGTTCTCCGCAGCAACATTATTTGTAATCACCTCTCCACTGGAATGTAGATACCCTTGGGAATTGGTAAAAGCAAAGAAACCACAGCATGACATCAGAATCGATTAGGTCACATTTGAATACATTCCGCAAAACAATAATGAGGGGCACTTTGGTGAGTTAAGATGCAAGAGAATCGAAATGCAGTTACTTCCACCTCCTATGTCTCCTCTTGCTCAAGAACTATTTATCGCGCAATCAAGCGGCAAAACTGCAGAAGCAGTTTTAAAATCCAATCATGCAGCATAAAACACAAACTGCTTACATGACGATCATCGCAGAACTTTATTTCTCGTTACTTGGAAGTTATTCTAAAACTTTGTTTTTGCGACCACTTGCAAGGCTGGCAGTCACAAGTAGTTATCTCGCATCCATGCAAATGAGCTAGATTTTGGGCAAGCCAAAGCTTAATCTCTATAGATTTGCCTTGCTTATGCGCGTTAACTCTATTACAACCGTTTTTACCCAATGGGTAGTCTCGGGATGCTACAACTATAACATTGATAACTTAATTTATAAGTAAATTTCACTTATAACCAGTAAATCGATAAATGGTTCTAAAGTGTTCAGAACGATAACCACTAATTATGACTGTAGTATATACTAGTTTGCTTAAGCGAACTTTTAGAGATGAGAAGCGGAAATCAATCGTGAACAGGGATCACGTGCAGGAACTCGGCGAGGAGCCCACCTCGGATTGATATCCCCAACTCTGCTCATCTGTGTCACATTTCCATCCTTCCTAATAGCTATGCCTAATAAAGCCTCTGCAACCAACAACCTCTTGAAATCTGAGGACCCAGGACCAGGGGGAAGACATGTGGTCCTTGTTAAGGCGACCACCTGATGTATAGCGGCTAATTTAGTGTAGGCTGGCTATGACGAGATCTTATTCCTTTCTTTCCATTTAGAAAACATTATTCTGTTCGTCAGCATGGCTTTTTTAAAAGGAAGTCCCATAATGTCGAAATAAATGTTTGTTACGCATTCACATCACTGTTTTCGTACCCATGCCTTTAATAATTTACATCAATGTCTAGTGCAACATGTCAAAAAATTACTTGTAAACATATATTTCAAGCATGTAGCTATTTAGTTTGGGTAAAGGCAGTAGGGTTACAATTGTCGACACAATTTGGATGATTTGGTGACCTCATTTTTGTTTGAGTGAGTGAAAACCAGGTCGAGACTTTTAAGTCTCTGCGTGATGGTGGGTTGTGGCCCCTTTTCACTATCTGGTTTAGTCTGCAATATTCAACTTCCAAAGCCTTCTTACGGTTATAGTTCTTCTAATTTGTACCTGTACGTATGTACATGCACTAATGCCAGATATTCTTGATCGTCACAAGACTGGGTATGTTGCTAATATTTATTTACTAGTCCACATAGATTCACCGGGACATTTTGGAAATGTGCCAGAATAGGAGAACGCAAAAGTCCTTACGTTGCAATTTGTTGCATTTTCTTGGCTCTTCTTATTCTTGTCAACAGCTAACTTCCATCAAATAAAGCTTACATAAATAGTCTCAGCTTCTGGAATTATAAAGTTATCGCCCAACGTTACTAGTTTCAACTCATTTTAGTTCGGTATGCTCTCTAAATTTTTCACCAAACGCTTCGGTCAAGTTCTTCGATTCACACGTCGATGTTACAAAATGCCGAATCCATACCGCGAGTCCTACCGACCTGAATATGATCCCATTGTTATTGCTGGTTTTGTCTTATTTACTGCACCTGTAGTTTGGATGATCTACGATATTGCCTTCGAAACTGACAAGGATATTGAACCCAAATAGCTTCTCTACCACCTAGAGTTCCTTTGCTTAGATAAATAAACGTGTTCGTGCCTTTCTTCTTCTTTCTGTCCATTCCTTCCACATCTGTATACTAGACAAATGGCCTTCTTTTAGGTATGGCGCATTTACTATCGAGGAGTATTGGATGTGTGTTATCACTTTCGAGAACTCGTTACTTGGCTTTGGCTAATGTTAATACAATGATCCCTTTTTCTACAAACTCCAGCAGTAATGAAGGGAGTCAAAATTTCAGCTTTAAAAGGCGATTTTTCTCAAAACCCCTCTCCAAGGAGTCCATTTTCGCCATTATTTTTGGAGCAGGTGTTCTTGGTGTCAGTTGTGGTTTAAATCTCTTCGTCAATTGGAAATCAAATCGCTATGCTGACCCAAGTAATTGTCCCATTTATGAAAAGTAAGGGCCTTCATCTTTGCTGCTCAGTCCTTTCACTGAAACCGTGGTAATTGCGTTTTTCGACTCGTTTAGGAGACCTCCAACTGCTCTCGATAAATCCAGTTCGAAATCGGTCGAATGTGAGTTTTTGGTACGGTCTCTATGCTGAAATTCAGGGCACGGTTTAAAAGTAACTAGTTATTCCTCTTTTTGTCAAATCTAGTCTTTGTGTTCCTGCGTATAATTATTCGTGGCGTCGCGCATATCTGAGGCTGGTATCAAACATTTTAAATAGGAAGATAGGACATTTTTATCAGATTAGCCGTTTATCCGGTAGTAGGTGATCTTCTGCATATTGACTGCTATCTTCTTCATAGGTTCCAATGATCCTCTTTTGTCTACAAAATCTGATCGACTGCCTCCGCGGGTAAAGCATGTAATCATTGGCGCAGGTGCGGCGGGGATTAACGCTGCTCGGGCCATTCGTTCGGTGGATCCCCTGGCTCTAGTTCTTCTTATTGCTGGCGATACGAACTGCGGCGAGGAGGAAGTAGAGACGGGGAAAGGAAAGACCTACCCACCCCCATACATTCGTCCCGTCCTTAGTGGCGGACTATGGTGGCGTACGCCGGAAAGACGCCAAGTTATGCTGGACCCATTGGGGGATATTCGCAGTCATTCCTGGTTCTACTATGAACCGCTTAGCTTCTTCATTGAGCCTCACGAGTAAGTCTAGCGTTTAGTGTTCTCTAAGAGTTCGCTTTCTTCCTCCACGATTAGTTATCTTCTTCCATATTATTTGAATTCAAATATTTTTCCCACCAAAACTATCTTTTACGAGCTTGGATTTATAGGTAGAAACGGAACAATTATTCTGAGTCTCAGATTCCCTGCTGGCTTCTTGAATATTACTTCTTATTAATCCTTTCCAAGTGTAACGAAGGCAGCCTAGGGTAATTTTTTTTTGCGAGACCCTTCATTCATATCCCCTGCGCTCTCAACCTCTCCATTTACATCTCGTCTAGATTATCCGAAGCCGAGGAAGGTGGAATCTGTCTCCTTCGTGGTAACCCTGTTGTTGCCCTGCACCCGAAGCGCCATGCGATCACTCTGGCCGATGGTCAGGAGATTCAGTATGAATGTTGCCTCTTAGCCACTGGTGCTCGACCTCTTATAGTGCCAGAGTTGGGTCATTGCTCGCACAGTGGTGTTGACCTCGTTGCTAACAAACGTGTCACATACTTCCGCAACATTGCTGATTACAAGTAAGTGAGGTGTTGAGCCTCCTTTATGCGCTTTGACGATATCATCGCATCCACAACCTTCTTTCAGGCACCTTCAAAGCGTATCAGATCGTCTTCACAAGAATGGCGGTCGAGTGGCTGTTCTTGGATCCAATCAGCTGGCTTGTGAATTAGCGACTAGCTTTCTGGAAGAACGTCGTCTTCCCAAGGAGGAACAGGACACTAATTCGTCGAAAGATTCTGCAGCATTCCATGTGCATCAATTCCTCGGTTTCGGCACCCTACATCCCATGGAAGATATTTTGCCTCCAATTCTTGCTGAAGCCGTGTCTGCCTACGAAACTTCACGAGGTGTGGTGTTATTGCCATCGACAACTGTAGTTCGCGCTTCTCTAGTGGATCCAACCAATCCTACTGAGTCCCAGATTCGTTTGACCATCCAGAAACGTGAAGAAGGAGGCATTATTAAGGAGGAGGAGGATTTAATTGTCGATCACGTTGTTTGTGCTGTTGGAAATGAGCCTCGGACGGAGCTAGGTTCTAAAGCGGGTCTGGAAGTGGATCCGGTGAACGGAGGCTTACTGGTGAATAGCGAGCTTGAATCTCGGGACAATATTTTTGTTGCTGGATCCGCGGCATCTTACTGGGACTCCGAGTTGGACTGTCGTCGGCGTGTCGATCACATTAGCGTCTCAGAGGATACTGGAGAGCTAGCTGGTCTTAATATGGCTCGGAGTGTTTCATCCCCGTCTCACGAAGTTAAGGATAAGTTGGCAGAAGCGTGTGTATCCCCTGAAAAAACCTATGATCCTTTACCAGCAGCTCGAAAGCATCAAACTGCCCTCTGGTTTAACATTGGCAAAGGTGCTCACTACGACTGCGTTGGATTGGTCGATTCGAAACGTCTTGCTACTCGAACTGTCTTTCTGGAAGGCGAGGAGTCCTCTGCTGTGGTATTTTACCTTCGTCCAGAGGACAATCGCCTGATGGGAGTTTTGCTTTGGAATATAACTGATGAGTTGTTTAAAGATCCTGAATACGTGGCTCCCAGCAGAATTAATTTGGCACGAAGTTTGGTGGCGCAGAGATTAATCTTGCGTGAAGATGATGATGTGCTCGAATGTGCCAGACAATTTGACTTAGGCGGTGAGATTGCAGAGCACTATGAAGAGTTGAGGGCTTTTATTGAGGCAAAAAGAGCTGAAGAAGAGGCCTCGGCTGCGGCAGAGCCATCAACATCTGGAAACAAGGAAACGGAGGTGACGAATGCTGTTTCACAAATTGCAGTCAAGCCCGAAGACGACACTGTTGCAGTAGTGACATCTGATAATAGTAGTGCTGTGTAGAGACTCCTTTCAATGCCTTCCCTTCGATATCTGTGTATAGACTACTTTTTTACCGAAATAAATCGCTTTTACACTGAAATCACTTCAGCCTTGCTTAGTGGATTGTGTTGGAGAAATAGTTTGAATCTCTGACACTTTCTGTTGGTAGGAGGCGTCAAAGGAAGGTGATGATGGTGGTCATGGTAATGGACAGGAGAATGAGAGTTTTGGGAATGAAAAGCCCTTAAAAATGAAGGTAGGTTTTTAGACAGACTAGACTGTTAATCACTTTCTCTTGTAGATAAACAATTGGTTTGGCGTTGCAACATGGCGATGGTGTACTAATGACAGTACTTGTGGAATCTGTCGCAACACTTTTGAGACATGCTGCGCCGACTGCAAACTGCCGGGTGATGACTGTCCTCTTGTTTGGGGTCAGTGTTCGCACTGCTTTCACATGCATTGCATCATCAATTGGCTGAATACACGACAAAGCGGTCAACCGTGCCCACTGTGTAGGCAAGAATGGAAGTTTAGAGAATAAATTTTTATTCTACCTTTATTTTGGCACAATTTTGGTCTGACGTTGCAAAGCTTTTAAAGACATAATTTGGTTTTAGAGTACTCCTAAATAATTTATGAGGTACCGATACACTCTCGAAGATTGGGGTAGAATATTGACCATTTGATGCTGAACGATGATGTTGCTACTTAAATGCTTGTATGAGTAGTCGATATGCTTTTAAATGCAGTAGAGCCTCAGAAGGCATCATCAAATGCCAAAAAGTGGTAAGGTTGTAAAACTGTTTTCCTATCAATAAGGTAGTTTTATGTGTTTGGTGCGGCGAGTTATTGATACGCTGCTACTTAAATACGTTAGTGAGTAGCCCACTAGATTATTCAACGTCCCTGAAAATAGGAGAGGATTACAAAGCTTATTTATTCGTTTTTTAGTGTTTGGCGTGGTCTGTTGAGGAGACCGTAAGCGTAGTGTGTAATGTGAATGGACGATTGTCAGCAATGCATCAATTTCACAGCGCTCTTGAAGTTTGCTGCCAAGACTGAGCTTTCACCTTACATTTCCTATCGTCCAAAAAAGAATAATCTAATTTGCTGCTCTGTGGTACAGTTAACAAAGTGATACTACCCATCATTGCTCGAATAACATATTTGCTCACCTAATGCACTTGAAACTCGGATTTTATCCACCACATTTGCCACTATTTTGTATGCTTTGCAGATAAAATAGATTCGTTAACCACTTTCTCTCTCCTCCGTAGCTCGCTGTTTGGTGGCACTTCTCACTGTTTGGCTCTTTCTTCAAAGCCTCAGGTTGCGATTTGTCAGTCTGACGTACCTGCTGCAATTTAGTCCATTTTATTTCATGGTCCTGTGCATAAAGAGGGAAACCTTTCATTGCATTGGTTGCAGATTCTTTGTCGCATAGCAACAGAAGGTTTCATACAGAATCCAGTAGTTGGAGCCAAAAATTCGGTTGTGTTGATGGGTCTCTACCTTTTGCAGCAAAGGGTAGAATCGCGTGTTGCAAGGTGCAAAGCCACACAATTACACCTGTATCATTTCGGGAGGTGGAGGGAGAAGAAATTTTTGTCTGCCATCGGTGGGTAAATGAATGCTGCAGGCCGGTTCGAAAAGCAGATGGCAATAAACTTCGAGGGTGTTGAGATGCTTTCTTCAAATCACTTCAGGGTAGCGTATTGCATAACATTTGTCTGCCTCCCAGCCACCTCTGCTATGCCTTAGAACCACTGGAAAGCTCTTTTTTACAAGATCAGGCTCGAGCACGTTGCAAAGTGAAACTAGACGGGGAGCTCCACTACCAATTCTACAATTTTCAAAGGTCAGACTCTCAAAAGTCCATTCCGTCAAATAATTTGGTGACGCCAACTAGAATGAAAGAGGATTAAGAATGTGCACATTTCGAGCTTTTGGCTGTTTATGTTGCAAACACGATCTCTTCTCATCATCTACTTTGCATACCGGCTTGAACTTCCATCACTTAGAGATAAAAGTGGGATTGGACAGAACACGCTAGAGGAATTAAGGCATCTCTTTCAGCTTTGCTTAAGAACAGTGAGCAGTAGTTTGACTAATTTATTCCGTAATTTCGTGTATATTGCTACCTTTTCGTCCGGGACTTAATGCTTCCTTGGTCGTTGCATACTACTCGCTATGGCCTAAGTGAGTAGTTATGTTAGCATTATTAATTGAGGTAATAAAGATCCTTGCTGACATATGTTGCCCCACCAGCCTGTTTGAATTCGTCGAGACCGATTATAATTAAGTCAAATTTTGGCCACGGCATTTGCAATACCGAATGATATATACTACTAACTGGCGTTAGTACTATGGGTCGGGCAATTGAGGGATTTATTAAGGTTAGCGAAGAAGGCAAGGAAGGTCAAACAATTACAACACAAAGTAATAGCCTCTAGAAATCAAGTGATGAAGTACGTTTTAGGTGAACGTCATCGGCGCTGCCATCTTCCACGATGTCATGCAGCCAAAAGCTTGACTGTCGGAAAACTAGGGAGAAGGAAATTTATTTGATCATTTCGCACCATTTCACATCGATAAAGAGGTAGTTTCGGTTTTATATAGTACTTGTGGTAGTATTCCAACCTGTGTTCTTTTTTTGGTGTCGAAAAATTCTAGATCGAGGAGAATGTGCGTGCATTAGGAGCCCCGGCACTCTTCCGTAGATCGCTTAACTCTCCACTTTATGCACACATGGCTGAAACAAAGGTGTTATGGGGCGGGTCTTAGGCTGCCGCAGGGCCTTTTTCGTGGTGAAATCACAGAGCCTCTAGTCCTAGACGCTTAGTCAGCTCTTACAGCCTGTCAAAAGGAAATCGTTCTATTTCTGCCATTCCATATTATTCCACTAAATCAGGGTCTCAGCTTAGAAAAGTTACACAGCTTTGAACATTTATATTTTTTAGTGCTTTTTTTCCGTTCTGAGAAGCTTCAAGGCCTAGAGTTGAACCAGGTACTCACTTTCAAAACAATAACGTTGAATTAGCCGTACTTACTTGATTCAGTGCATCCCCAAGAGTCAAAATCTGAGTTTTTATATCAGTCAACAGGGTTTTAAGTTTGCTCGGTTCGTCTATCACCTCCACACTTTCAGTGAATGCATTGTATCGAAGAGCAAAAGGTCTTCGGAGACTTTGAACAAAGTGCCTGAAATGCGGATTTTACACGAAACAACTCATAGCTCGTGAGCATCCCCCTTAACTTTTGCTGTCCAGATTTACGACCAACCTTAATTTGTCTTGAGCCTCTCTGAATGTAGTGGTTATGAAATAGGCTCTCTGATAGGTTGTCACCATGCACTCCGCCTTAACGACCTCGTCGGGGATGAAAGCCATCCTCACCGCGCCATCGCTCAATGCGTGCTAGCAAAAACACGTCTAAGTAGATAGCCTCCACCGGTTAGCTAAGAGTTCATTGTAATACTCAAGTTTTTGCTTTCAACGGTAAAAGGTGGAATCCATTGCCTTATAATGATAAAGTTTTGCTTCAACGAGGGTGTGATTCATGTGAAGACCTGCGCATTACTATTAAAGCACTTCAATTGCGGCTTTAATAACTCAGAAGGCTGTGAGTTTGTTGAATAGCACCCAGCCACCATATCTGTGAAGCGTCTTTGTCTAAGCCTCCTAAGTATTAATGTATGTGCAACTATGACATTAGTTCGGCTTGATTGACCCTTTTATCCTAAAATTTTGCAGAATATGCCCTAACTTCACCTTCAATTCGGACACAGAGGATAAAAGTCCAGCTCCGAAAGCTCGCAGTTCTCCGTCTTGATTGCAAATTCCAAATTCCACGGAGAAGAAGTAAAGCTGCCAGTAAAAAGGCAAAGCCCTAATTCAGTCCTCTGTTAGAGATTCATGTCAACTAATGAGGTAGCATACACTTCCTGAAGTCGCTCTGTAAACCGCTTTCCTATTGATACAGTCAGGTAATTCTATAGACGAATTAGGCACGACAAAACCTATAAAGTTTATATTTCTTACTAGTTTTATTCGACAAACGATCACCGGCAATTCCATGACTTTATGTAAATAACACAGCCATCGATTTTGAGGGTTAAAGACCTAAAAACTTTATTAGCATCCGCAACGCGCTTTAACAGCTTCCTCTGTTCATAACCCCTTTAAACTACGTAGCTGTATTAAACAAGGCACTTCGTATTAAGGTCAGGTAAAGATATTACGAGATTTTACGATGTTTTATGTCTCGAACGACGTAATTAAGAGGTAAATGAGTAAATTTGTGGCTAAAATTTGGAAAAGTGGCAATTCAAGAAGCTGTTGCGCTTTTTTACTTATATAATTCAAGTAGAAATAGCGAACCCGATGCTGGGACCTACCTTAGCTAGTTTTTGGACATCTTCATTTGAGACACCCAGAGAGGCGAGACCCAACTCTTGAGAATACTGGGCGAACTCCGGATTAGCAAGCATAGGTACGTGTCCCATCAACTCGTGAATGCAATCCCTAACAGAAGATAATACACAATTGAAAGTTAATGATAAGTGCTAGTCTAATGTCTTAGGGAGAGATTATGCTGATTGATAAGACGAGCTATGGGAAATAATGCTTGGTTCATAACAATTATCTTCTGCCTAAATTTTAGGAAAGTTTTAAAGAGGAAGGTTCACAGTCGACTGTAGACTCGCCTTCTTGATCAATACAAGGTAAGCTCACTCAGTATTTGCAATCAACACTTCATTCCTTCTTTGTGGTTATAGTAAAACTACTTACGGCTCGGGTGTATAAAAAGGCTCTGCTTCATGACGAATGTACTGCGTGCAGTAGAACACACGATAGGCCAGGCCTTGAAGAAAGTCTCTTGCAGAAATATAGCCCGCAACGGGACGCAACGTAAATCCCGATTGTTCTAAGCAAAAGGGGGGAAATAAGTGTGTGAAATATGAAAAAGAATTGTGAGCTTACTTTTAAGAAATTTGGAGACATCTTCCAATTGGGGCAAATCTTCCTCTCTAGATAAATATATATATTGGTGATTAGTTCGAATGGGATTGATGGGATATACCGATAACCAGCGTGCTCCTGCAGGAGGGGAATGTTCTCCAAGTACTCCTTGCATGCGTGAGTTTGATAAAGTGTCATTAATTCACGATAAACTGTACTCCTGTGAGAATAACGAAAATATGAAGTCGCTTTTGGTCTATTTTATCAGGCTTTTAATAACGAAGATATTAATACCTATTGTCACGTTACACTCACCATGTTTTTCGCTCCTCAGTTGTGTACTCAATGCGGGTGATTGCATCTCCACTTTAAAAGTGAAAAGTAGTTGAACTTAGTAAGCTTTTCTGATAGGTGAGATGGGAGTTTATATTGTGCATAGCTGTTTGGTTGCAATCCGCCTAAGGAGGTCATAAAGGTCAGACGAGCAAGAGAACCGCGCCATGGAGTGAACACCTTGGACTAAGTGGCCTCACATCAACTAACAAAGCAGGCAAGACGAAAGGCCCCACTCAAATAGGTTGCAGAAGTTAGAAACACTGCCGTGTGTAAACAAGTTATTCGCCCAAAGGCCATCATTCATTTTGAATATTTTCAGGCTACTCGCAATGGAAGGCCGTGTACGCTTTCCAAAAATGTCCTAACAGTCAAACATTTTGATTCTAGAAGTTCTAGTTATGGTTATTAATCATATTAAGGGCTGTGAACTGTGTACAAACACAGATAATCCCATGGAAGAAAGTTAAGTACTGTGGTTTTGGATACTTTAAAATCTTCCGGCTTACTAGCGGTAATTGTAAGCTATTTTGGCAAATTCCAATCTCCGTTTCCTATAAGCCACGTCCTTGAAACTGGGATGCTCGGCATCTAGGTCCTTTCCATACATGTAGACGTTGTTGGAGATTACATCCAGTTCGGAAATGTGTCGAGGAAACCATGGTATTGTAATATCTGTAGTTAATTAGAGGTAAAATTGGTTTTGCTTTTAAAAAAATGGTTAGCATAATGAAAATCAAAACTGAGAATTGGAGTTGCAGCATAGAGTTCTAATAACGGCCTTCGAACCCCTCTGCCTGAGTTTGTATGCAGCTAAGCATTATGACTTCTGATGTCTTGTGGAAAGTCTCGAATCGCCGCAGAAATCATCTATGCTAAACAAATCTCTCCCCATTCTGCAATGTAAGTGTTTCGGGAGTTACCCATATCTGATTATCTCAAGTAACTACAGTTGCTTTGTTTTTAATTATGATTTCAAAGGAATTCTTCTGCAATGCATAAAATCTAGTTATAAAGTAATTTTTACGCCTTCCTGACCTCTTAAGATGGGAAAAGGTACATTGGCTTTAATGTCAACCGCAGGTTTTGCAATCACGTCCTTGCATACTTCTTGGAGCATTTGAACCACATCATCGGAAAAGGTAGATGTGGGTTGCGGATAAATGATAATTTCGTCCCTATCCGAGATCTTGATATTATCGATATTGTCAGATGAACCCTAAAAAATTTTTGCAGTTACCCCTTTAACAAATGGGCACAATTCATCACTTAAAATCTTCAACATTTCACAATCTCGGATCTCGGTTCGCGAATAAAAAATATCTCTTAGGCTTAAAAACTTTAAAAAATGGCACGGATTCAGTTTTCACTGATGAATCATTAGCGAGTTTTGTATGCCGACGGCCCACCTGCTCACAAGATTTTAGTGATATTTTGGCTGAAAAAAACTGTCCCCAAGGTTCGGGCTTGCACTAGGTCAGTGAGTCATTCACCTCCTTTTCCTTTTTTCCTTGGTAAAACAAATATAACTTAGAGAACAGATTTGGTTTCTGCTCATTGCGTACCTGTGCATGTATTTATGTTTCAATCGTTGTTGTATGTACGGCTAGTAGGGGCGAGTGAACATCTTCAAATCGGGGCTTTTTTGCATGAGTATGGGTACGCTGTCTTCTCGTGCTGTGAATTGGTGAAGCTTCCGCGTCACAAAAGCACACCTGTTGTGGCTTAAATAGCAGCTATGAAAGTAACGAGTTTGATTTGGAGTTGACAAAATAGGCATAGACTTTGTAATTAGGTATTTCTTTTATCGTTTCTCGGAAGCCAATTCGAACTAGATATCGACCATTTGACAAAACGCTACAATAATATATAATTTTTGAATGTTTCAATTAGCTATTTGCAACTTCATCAGCTCCTTATTGCAATAAAGTCTCTTTGTTTTCAGTTTTGGGGACTATGGAAGGATCAATCATTACCTGCAATTTCCTAAGAAGTGCAGCGAAGTCCTTCACTTGCGCATCCTTTTTCACGATCAGCGCAAATTGAGGTGAGCTCTCGGGAAGCATTGTCCGATTTTGTGTTACCGAAGGGCTGGTGAGTATTTATAGCCTCCCACATCCACGCAAGGTATGAAATGCTCTAATCCGGGAATAATTGGATGGATGTGTTGTTTTAAGCCGAGATAATGAGGGAAGTAATCCCTAATCACATCATGGGGTGGTTTTTGTGGCGTCGTCGCAAATTAATGCTATGAGAAAGGGGAGCGGCTAATTTATTTAGTTTCTTGTTTACAGTTTGATTTGGCACCCTTGGTTTGGGGTGAATCTTTTCCGTACCCTCGTCTTTCCTACTATTCATTGGGCTACAAACCGTAGATGGACCCTTAGCGCTCAAACCCGGAGATGGTTTATTACGAAATTCTCAGGAAAGAAGCGTTACTAATCGGCTCTCAGAGTTTCCTAAGGTCGAAAGTTTCATTTCCTTGGAAGCAGGTGTAGGGCCAATGTGAAGAGGTACTGAGAATCTGGGAGTGCGCCATTAAGCAGAAGTCCAGTGGTTTATACTCAACACTTGAGCAATATGAATGAAATACCAAATGAGCAACCAAAGTATTGCGCATCTCCCATCTTCTTTAGAATATAACCTCTGACTCTCCTCCTTTGATCATCACAAATTGTTCCCTATCGCATGAAAAATGACCACTGGGTAATCGCGCCAATCATCGCATTTACATGTTTAAGAGGCGATACTATCTTCAATGGCACTGATCCTTCTTGGTAAGTTCACTGAATGTGGAGTTTCATCCTTTATGGGAACCATGTTGGTTAAGGAAAGGAAGGTGTACTTGTTGTCATGCTTTTTCATTGCTAGTCTTACAAGCGTCGTCCTAAGATTAATCCTATGGCAAAAGACTGCGCTTAGCATGGTTTGATGGATGTAGAGTGTGGTGTCTGTTCTTCCGCTCCAATATTTTCTAGCATTGCCATCTGGATTATATCTAGGTGGCTTCCTGTGTTACATGGTTGATGTATTCACACGGTAACGCTAGACAGTCCTGTGAGGAGCTTTGGTGGATGGTTAACTCATAGCTCTATTTCATTTGTTAACTTCTTGCAGGCCACAGGACTGGAACAGTTGTCGGATGTGGACGTCATTTTCAACCCTCCTTCCGTTCGTAGCATGTACAGTTCTTTCTCCCCACCAAGGTTTAGTATCCGACAGTTGAAATCGGGGTAGCTGTTCTCTATGGTCGGATTTTTATTCCTCTGCAACCAGTGTAGTGCTCGTGTACTGCTTTGATTACAAGAGAAGGCACAGTACTCAAGCATTATCTCTATTGGCGCCCCAAAGAACAGCTTGTCGGTTGCTGGCACTCTTCTGACTAGTGCCATCCAATATCAGTACAACGGTGTCAGCTTAAACTTGAAGGTCCAAACATTCAAAGGGTCGGAAGTATGCGATCTCTTTGGTATTGATGAATTCAAGAACCGTATGGATAGTATTTCCTTTTTTCAACGTGATCTTCTTGCCCTCCGGACGACATTCCTTTTTCGTGATTTGACGAAATCTTTTCTGTCGCCATCTCGAATTTACTACGCCCGTTACTAGCCATGCATATTAATCCAGTGGATGGAAGTGCTGCACTCCGCATCAAATTGCGTTTGAATGAATCCGGTCCTGAAGCCCTTCAATACGCAATCCCTTCGTGCGTAAAACGTTCTCTAGTCCCCTTTAAGAGATTTTATGTTGGCTGCTTTTTATTGATCCTTGATGAATGCGTGACTTTGAGCCTTTACTGAAACTTTTATCACCTAGTTGTGTCTATTTGTGGTTTCGATCCCAAGGTTGCGCTTAGTCCTATCAGAGATGAATAAGCTTGTGGGAAAAAATGTTTTTATTGATAATTTTTAGTGTGCAGCTACAGAGGTACAAGCCTGTTAGTTGGATTCCTAGGTCTTCTAGTCTTTGTGTCGGTACGGCATTAGGCTGATTTTCATTGAGAATAGGCTGTTGGATACCTAACCTCCGGCTATGGATACTTCTATCTGCTCAGAAGATTCTGAGAGAGGGATGATTGTATGTATTTGTAAAAGCGATCATAAGAGGAGCTTTTGAAAAAAATTGAATAATAATGCCGTTTTGAAGTTGTGTTTCTTCAATCGAGGTCATTCCAATGATGCTGTTTTGGTTGTTGAGTTAATGCTACTTAATTATTATAAGTAGCTGGTTATTCGACCAAGATTTATATTAGAGTGGGTATTTCAGAGTATTAGATTGATTACATTATTGTTTCATAACAAAATATTGCACCGTTGTTTTCTACTTCAAATGAAAGCTATTCAGTTTGCAAAGTAAATATGTTAAAGGAATACTTGTTTGAGCGTTTTTGCCATGACCTTCATCCATCGCCTTTATAACAAGGTGGTATTGGAACACAATGGATGGTTGTTTTCACCTCTTAAGGTGGGAATGTGGGGTCACTTCAGATTGATTCCGCTGTTGAAATTTCACTACTGACAGAGGAGACAAGTCTTATAAACTCGAAATCCCCCTTCTATAGTTCATCATGCTCTTCCTTAACCAATCTTTTTCTGTTGAGGTTCTGAAGCTCTCGATACGGAAGTGGCACAAGTAGATTACCGTGCATAATTCCGAATGACAACTGGACTTTTCCTTAACCTTTGTGATCCTCTTTGTTAATTCTTCCATCATACGCCTAGACCTTTTGCGCAACTCCTTTTGATGGCATCTCTTGCTCACTTTAGCTAATATTCTTCTGCCTAAAATTAACGCGTGTTGGTTGGGCATCGAAAACTTCTTTTAGCTCCATTTAACTGGTGGCCTTCTTTAAAAGTTTCAAGGATGTTTTCTCCACTTGCCCAAAATCTTGTCACGAAGTCGTCTGTCAGTGGAGTTTTCTCCGGAGTAGCGGTTTTCCCCCGCGGTTCATGTCAATAGGAAGGAGAACAGAAAAAGTTCACCGGGGTGAATGCATGAGTGAGGGCGTAGGGACGGGGATGGGGGTTCGCTCGCATGACATTTGAAAGGCAATATCATCACTTTAACCAAGGTGATGTCATTTCTCTGTTTGTAAGCGTGTACTGCGCCCCTTCGCCATGACTAAGCTGTGTGGACGGCCATCCCATTCTTAGTTCGAGGTAAATGTGTCTTTCTTAAGTTTCTTCTTTTACATGTTCTGACTGGAGAGTGAAGGAAGCGTAGGAATTTTGGTGAAATCACGAGATGGAGGAATATGACTGTAAGCGCCAATGTTACTTAGACTGGATTTATGTAAGTGAATTTATCTTTATTATTATTTCATGAGGTAATTGCTTCTCACGGAAGGAGGTAATTAATTTAAATGCGAAATTTATGCGTTCTGTACGAATGATGAAGGCGAAAGTAGTTTGGGCCGGCGAAGAGACTGTATTATTAAGGAAACGAAATTCGCTCCCTCTTGACTGTCGGTCCGAAAACGAGCTCTCGCCTTTCCTATGTTTGTGTTTAAACCACCATTACTATTTTCACCTCTCATCCGAGCTTGGTAATACAGATGTGCATGCAACTCAAATCGAAAATATTCAGTTCCATGAAGACGAGGCTTTATCATCAAATGGATTGCTGTTGCGGTCTTTCATGTTCTTCACTCCACTGCTACCCGACATGGCTCTGAGCCAAGGAGAAGCTGTCACTTGTCATTACCATGTTGTATATGCTCTTATTGAAAGCCTCTTGCCACGGAGAGGTGGTATTTGTCTGGTTAACTCTCAGGTAGAGGTTTCCAGATGAAGTTTTTTTGACCTTTAAGCAGGTACCTGCGTCCAAGGTCACAAATGCAGATGCGGTAATGTGAGAATTGAGTAAGTCAATCGAAGATGGTGAATAAGAAGAATAGGTACTTAAGGGCATGCTTTATCTCTTTTTAC